GGCCCGCGAAAGAATTGTGCAGAAATGCGCCAATTGAACTATTTTTCCAATGCGTACTGGTAAAAAACATACTTGTTCATAGATTTCAAATTCATTAATTAAGATTGTGTTTAAAATATATTTATATTCCATATTATGTTAATATTAGCTGCTACTGTCTGTTGTCATTAATATACGATAATTTATTCTCACATACTTTGTATTTAGTTTATGTAATTCTGTGCTTTCAATAAAACTCATATACCTAGAGTTATTAATTTATCATTTTATCCGGCCCGTTGAAAGTGCTGAATTATCTAATGTGGCCCGCGTTTCAAAAAGTTTGGAGGCCCCTGATTTAGTGGGTTGTGTTCTCTCCTGTTGTGTGTTGTGCTGCGTGTTTGTTTTCGAATGCATAGAGCTTTGGTTCCTCTTCTCACTCGCCTTCATATCATGGCAGTTAAGCACAGGGATTGCTTTACGTCTACAGATACATAAGAGGCTCAGGAGAGCATGTTCACAATATTGTAAAGCTGCTCTTTCTTTCATTTTCTGTAATCGACTGGCAGAAAAAATGCACTTGTTTTTCTTTTGAGGATTGTTGCTCATTCAGTTGTTTTAAAACGCTAAGTCAGTCTAAGATTACGCAGGGTCTGCTGACGATTGCGGTATGACAGAATATTTTAAATGATGAAGTGGCTTTCCCCTTTCCGAACGAACTATTTAGGCGTTTCCATGGAGGAATTGAATGAAGCCATGGAAAGATACGTATTTCTATCTAGCATTCGAATCTACTGCGCATGTATGTAAAGTCAGCACGAGGAAATAAATGCATTGTATTAAGAGATTACATCATCATAAAGTCATCATATTCATCATCATCAACATCAAGGTTTGGACCTTCAAAGGTATGGCGTCCTCTTACAGAAATTGTTAATCTCTCCGCGTAGTTTCGAGAGACCGGTTGGGAATAAAATGCATCGTATTTCCATACAATGAATTAAGACCCCATTCTTACCATAAGGCGTGTCCAGTTATTTTCATTATTCATAATTTTATCGTTTACAGTAAATTAAGTTTAGTTTCTTTAAAACCCCTGTACTCTTAATTTTGTCTTTGAATGTATATCCAGCCACATTTCTGAGAAATGTCATCTTCGTAGTTCCTATTCTTTGTCTTTTTTTTCTGTCAGTCTTCATATTTCAATGATGTACGTTAGTGCTGCAATGCCTGTAGTTTTATAAACTCTTATCTGTAGTTTTCCTAGGCTTTTCATCCACCAATCTTAACATTTTCCAACATATTCTACCATAGTACTACAATAGTCAATAAGTTCGTGGAATGGCCGCAACGCGTCATACGGGAATTTACTGCCAATGTGTTTCAGCAATGTTTTCAACAGCTATATCAACGTTGGCAGACTTGCATAGCGGCCAACGGCAACTATTTTGAGGGCCGATATGGATCTGCATAAGTGTATATGAATACCTTGTAATATGATGCGATAAAACCACATTCCACGAACTTAATGACTCTACCACAGATGAAAATTAATACAGCGATGAGATGGAAGCTCTAAAATTCAATAATTTCGTGTTCCCCTAGCAACGAAATATCGAGCGTTAATACGTTGCATGAATGTAAGTTATGTTATAGGTCACGAATTAGCGAGCAGTCATTTGTTTCAGTGTGTTGTGCCTATTCTGTGAGTACGGATAATATTTTGATGTAGATATGTAAGATGTAGTGTACAATATAAAAGAGACAGTATAAGGTTGACTATTTGCGAGTGTTATTTCTGGGAGATGGTGTTAACATTAGTTTCAGCGTATCGTTCGATAACATATAGAACCGGGAAGGAATACATGAGAAAACAAGAGAAGTTCGTAGTACGAAAGTATATAACAAATTATCAATCTTCATACTGGATTCTCAATTAGATTTACACTGGTGAGATTAAATTTGCATAGTTTTATCTTTGACTCTTTAATCTGAAATGAAAAGTGTAGCGTAGTTGGTTGAGGCACTATGCTACAAGCCGGAAGGTCGCGGGGTCAAGTCCCAATAAGGTCATTGGATTTTTTTCAATTTACCTAATCTTTCCAGCCGCACTATGACCCTCTGGTTGACTCAACCTCTAACAGAAATGAGTACCAGGAATATTCTTGGGGGTAAAGGGCGGCCGGCGCGTAGGGCTGACAAATCTTGCCACCATCTATGAGCCGAATGTCTAGAAAATGTGGGAACCTCAACATTTCACAACCCTATGGGCCTCCACAGCCTGTTACAGGGATACTTTTACTTACTTACATATCTTAGAATACATGGCATTACATCCCAGAAGATACTCGTAATACTCTTCATAGTCACGCTGTGAGAACCTCAAATCCAAAATAACACTCTAAATTATTCAGTGCTTTGCATCCAAAACTCAAACTTACTGTAGAAGATGGCCGCGCCATAGCTCAAGCGGTTAGTCGCTGGCTTCCCACCGCGGCGGCCCGGGTTCGATCCCGGGGTCTGGTCAAGTGGGATTTGTGGTGGACAAAGTGGCGCTGGGGCAGATTTTCTCCGAGTACTTCGGTTTCCCCTGCCAATCTTCATTCCACCAATTGCTCCACAATCACCCTCACATATCATCTGGGGCTGGTACAATAGGCCAGAAGTGGCCGCAGTACAAGGGACTTAGTCCCACCCCATTTACTTACTTACTTACTTACTCATGGAGAAAAGCACAATAGACCATTGTAGGTCACGGTGCAAGGGCCGAGAGGCCTACCCCTCATACATTCATACTCATGGAGCTGAGCCCCTCTGGAGGAGCTGCCAATTCTGCAGCTACTCAAGGATTAGCCAGCATTTTATGGAACCCGAAGGTTCATTACCGTGTTCACAAGAGCCCTCCACTGGTACCTATCCTGAGTCAGATCAATCCAATCAATACCATTCCATCCTATTTCTCTAAGTTCCATTTTAATATTGTCCACCCACCTACGCCTTGGTCTTCCCAGTGGTCTCTTTCCTTTTGGCTTTCCCACCAATATCCCACCCCACTAACAATAAAAAAAATACTGTAGAAGATGTAAGTAATAACAAAATCATTATCTATATTTAACTATCACTAAGTACTCAGAACGGCCGGTCACAGTAGCCGAGCGGTCTAAGGCATGCACTGTCTTCGCTCGCTCGGCAGCCGAGATCGTGGGTTCGAATCCCACTCAGGGCATGGATGTTTGTGTGCGTTTTTCTGTGTTTGTCTACAGGTAGAGGCCTTGCGACGAGCTGATCACCCGCCCAAGGAATCCTACCGTATGTGTGAGATCTAGTAAACCGAAGTGAAACGGAGAGTTTCGTGGAGGTAGGCCTAGGCTCAAATTGGGGCTGTAGCGCCACAGGAAAAAAAGAAAGTACTCAGAACAATTATAATTCCGTATTATCACAAACCTACTTTGAGAGATTCGACTATTCCAAATTGACCATGCAATCCGCAAGAGCATAAAAATCGAACTACCTAATTAACAGACCGGATAAACATCTTATTTCCGCAGAAGGAAAATCCAAGGACCTTGGAATATCGATACTTAGTTCACGAGCACCAGTGCATATAGACCACCTAAGGACATGCCACAAGACGTGGTTAAATGGGAATAAAAAGAAGTCAAATGACCTATTTTACGGTGCATTGTCTTCCGCATTGTTCCATGCAAGATACCAATGGTTAAGCTTCTCTACTTCATTGGGCTTTTATACGGTGATAATTTTAATGTCAATAGTATTTTCGGCATAGATCAGTAAGTCGATTTTAATTATACCTCCACTCCCCCACTCGTATTCGTGGCGTGGTGCTTAATTAAACACAAGGACAAGTTTACTCAATTAATTTATGTAAAACATAATGTTAAGTTTCTTTTTACAATCGAACGCCCCTAAGATGGAGATATATGACAGAAACATCTCTGGCTTTATGATTACTTATTAATAAATAAAAAGGCTGGATGTACTGGATGGTGCCCTTGTGCATCGGTAATCATGACTTCTATTAAAAATAGTGAGATGCTTTTATCATTTTAGTATCTGATTTTATGCGCCTGTGTACATGGTCGAACAGTTTATTTAATATAAATTTTATACACTTGCAGGTCGGATCCGACTTGAAACATTAATAACGCAAGATAATAACTATCAGAAATGCATTTTCTTTTTGCAGTTTTGTGGTTTTTATGTAATTATATATATATATATAGCTATCCCTCTAAGAGGCCGTGAAGGCCCATAAGGTTGTGAGACATAGAGGTTCCCACATTTTATCTAGACAATCAGCTCATAGATGGCGGTAAATTTGTCAGCCTTACGCGCCGGCCGCCCTTCCCCCCCGGAATCTTCCTGGTACTCGTTTCTGTTAGAGGCTAAGTCGATCTCAATGCCATAGTGCAGCTGGAAGGATTAGATAAACTGAAAAATCCACCTCATCGGGACTCGAACCCGCTACCTCTCGGCATGTAGCATAGTACCTCAACCAACTACTCTACCGCCTGCCTCAATTATATATGACACCTTGTTATGAGCCTTTTAGTGACGCAAACGGTAGTGGAACTGAGTACAACTGTAGAAATGTGACAGTAATCAGAGATAATTTAAAGTAAATTACTCGTAGGATATTACGTAATACAGAACACCGTGAGTTATGCAGGCCAGTATGGTTAAATCTATGAGGTTATGATGAAATAATGAGATTTAAGAGAAACTTGAAGGTTGATCTTGGGGTTTACAGGTTGCGAAGAAAAATTCCACAGTATCGCGTGCAGTTATTAGCATTGGTATAACACTGTTGAACCTTCTGTCGGCTGCCAGAGAACTGGCAGGAAACGAATGGCCGGTGATGGCGTTGCGAAAGTGAAGGCAAATACACGGCAAGAACCTTGAATGCCATGCGCAGATTTCTGATTAAGCCAGCTAGACTTATGTGATTATGCTGTCATGTTTACAGCGGCGGCTTTCATTTCGTAACTGTGTGATTCCAGTTGGTTCGGGGACCATCAGCTGCCGGACGTTTGCCAGAGCCCGCCTTCCCGGCTGACAGTTGCGGCAGTGTTCGAATAACGAATATTCTCGACAGCAGAGCCGGTTTCTGAAAGTCGCACACATCATGTTTGCGAAGAGGTGAGGATGCGAACCACTTTCTCTGTCGTTGCCTATTATCTAGCAAGACTTGTACTGCAGTACAGTATTTAATATTTTATTTGCTTTCTGTTCTCTTTTGCATACCTCAACGTTCTTGATGGACATGCATTGCATACAAAATGTTGAAAATATAGTTCACAGGCTTTAAATGGTTATAGTACTCATTTAAATGAATAAAAAGGTCCCAGTCAACGTATGTCCAGAAACCAATGTCTGCTGAGATTGGGCGAGTTTTGTATTTGACTGGATACCAAGGTGGGCAAATTAAGCGATCAGCTCTTAGGACCAATTATCTTATTCAGCAGACTAACAGGTGCAGTGTACCATCGTTTTTTGACGAATGATTTACCAATACTCTGGGAACATGTACCTCTTCATCAACTACAACCATGTGGTTCATGGATAATGGTGCACCAGGTCATTTTCTCTGCATTGTAAGACAGCACCTGAACCAGACTAGTGAACAGTGGACAGGATGTGGAGGCCCAGTCAGCTGGCGTGTATGATTCCCTGACCTTAAACCCCTGGATTTTTTAATGTGGGACGCCTGAAGACTTTGGAATGTTTAACACCAATCAATGACTTGGAGGTATTACAGCAACGAATAGAGAATGCCAGTCAGGAGATTGAGTGAAACCAGGAATTTTCAACAGAATGCGCGCCTCTGTGTGACGAAAAGCTGAAAGTTATGTTGAAATGCATGGGAACCACACAGAGCATCTGCTGTACAGATTAGACGAACATCTCTCGTATCTCAGCAGACATTGATTCCTGGATAGATGTTGACTGGGAAGTTTTTGCTCATTTAACTGAGTACTATATTCCCTAAATCCTGCAACCCATTTTAACACGCTGTATATAAACTTATGCCCCCGAAGCTAATCGCACTAATGTCAAACTGCAGACTCTATGTCGTTAAAACAGCACCGCATAGAAAATTATTTTATGTGAAAGTTGAAGATCTTAATCAAATTATATGTTATGGAATGTCTCGTGCGATGACGCTTCTTGGGATAATAAACTTGATTTCAGCTTCATGTAAAGTAGATGTATATTTAACCGATGCTGACAAGTGTAACACACATGAAGGGTGTGAAAAATGCTTCCGCCTTTTTGGTTGGAAAACTAAAGGGAAGAATTTATTTCAGATGCCTAGGCTCAAATGGAAGACCATTAGTAAAATAACTCTAAACGAGACATTGGATCACATAATATGTGGAGAATTTCTTGACCTTCTGATTGACTATTAGCTTTTCTGACCAACTGCATTACATCAAATGTGTAAACTACGGCACGTTTACAATTAGTCACTCGCACACCGATCCAGCTAGCTTCAATTTTTAATTGTGCAGATTCCATAAAGTCGCGGTACGGTGGTCAGCAATTCTTATTTGGGGGGGGGGGGGTTGGGATATTACCTCGAACCCCAGCTATACTGACTTCCGTTTTCTTTGTTTACCCATTACCTTCAAGCGAATGCTGGAATAAACCTTAAATGGCTGCAAACATTTGTTTTGAGTTTGTTTTTATTTCATGATTCACATCCTACTATTCGGCGTTCTGTAGCACTGGTGCCCCGTTAAATAATTAATAATTAATAATTCAGTATGCAGATGCCATGAGATATGCTGTGAAAATGACAGAACCGATTTCCCGAGCTGGCTGTAGTACTTCACTCAACCTCCTTAAAACTTGATCCAGTAGAGTTGAATTAATGTCGCGTTATTATGACACGCAACCACAGCACCCACACAGAAGACTGTGTGTATGTATGTTTGTGCACCAGCTTTATTTTCCTTTCTCCTCTCCCCTTTTTCTTTTCCTGCGGGACGTGGTCTTATTTCAACAACTCCGTTGTATAGAATCTTCATTCAGATATGCGAAACAGTATTCATCTAGTCAAGAAACTCCATGCTTTGATGGAACCGGAAGATTCATAAATGTGTTTATAAAAGCCCCCCCCCCAAAGTTAAACCCTATCTAAGCCAGCTGAATCTAGTCCACGTCATCTTAAGAATACAACACGTCTTTTTAATTCATATCAAATATGGGGAATTAATGGAATTTGCGTTGTGCTTCCGTGAAAAAATGCTGTTTGTACCATCAGATATTCATATCCTCAGTTAAAGAATGAACATTCATGACAGTTATAACACAACGAAGATCTCTTAGCATGATGTATCACTAACAAACTCTGCCGAGCAGACTCATGTGACAATAACGCTATCGTTCCTTATTCAAATTTGGATCCCACTACCGCATATTCTGTCAGTTTTCGTTTTGATGTCCCCCTTTCTGTATGGGAATGCAGGAATAGTGGCTGGCAAGAGGTCACAACCGCCCTCTTTCAAGTTCTCAGCATCCATGAGCATACTCACCTCATCGAACGCTCTATAACTTACCGGATTAAACGTTGCCGTTTAAGAACGTAATATTCAATCATCTACTAACACTGCTCTCTTAGCTGCCCGCTGACCTATTTATCAAATGCCCCCAATTGACGATTACTGCTGTCAAAATATACTAGTATATTCTTTCTGTAGTGTAATGTCATTTTATCTTCCGTGTACTCCTACTCGTACTTGTAACTGGTTGAGAAACTTCTTTCATGGAACCGGAAATATATCACCATGTTCACAAAGTTCTACCGTTGAACCCTATCCTGAGGAGTTCAGCAAATACCGTTACACATTACAACTTCAAGATTAACTCTATTAGCATTTCTCGATATGCATATGTCTCTAAAGCGGTTTCCTTCACTGAAGTTTTTTGATTAGCATTGTGTATGCGTTGTTCATGTCCCTATGCGTACCCACCTGTCGTACCCCTCCCATCCTTCTAGATGCATATACCAGTACAGATATACTCAGGTAGGAAATACACTCTTCGTCTATCCCTCTCACTGGGTTTGTTGGTTCCCCTATTGTTACTTTCCGTCTGCATGCGCTGGGACTAGCACATGCTAAGAACACTGTTGAAGTCTTATACAGTACAATCCCTGTTATCAGGCATGGAGTATGCTGGTTGTATGAGAAAATCTTACAGAAAGCTAACTAAAAATCTGAAGGTCTTCGCTTTTGTTCTTACGTGGATGTCTTCCTTGGCTACACAGCGGGAACTTCAGGGCAAATGATTTCGGTTGCATATGAGGCTACCACACGTTTAACTAGCAACTACTGCAATGACCTGTGAAAGGGAGGACGGTAGCTCCGCCAGTGACGGCTAGAAGGACTATCCCGTGGTGGGTTAACGAAGGAGAATCGCAAATTTTGGTTTTGGATTAACTTACAAAATGGTAGATTATCTCTGAAAATTTTCCGATTGGATAAGAATTACAGATCCTTCGATACCGGATATCCAGGAATTGCTACATGTTATGGCAGTTCTCCTATTGTTGCGCCAGAGCTATACTGTTAATGAGTTTGACACACGAAATCTGTAAATTTCTTTTCGTACCTAACGAAGAAACAAATACATATACTATATCAAACATGTGACTTTGACATACATTACGATACTCAGTACATCTGATTTATAAGCTATCATCCTCCTTGACTTGATCATTCTAATTATACTCTTCTCCAAGTATAACTAGAATGATCAAGTCAAGGAGGATGAGATGGGCAGGGTATGTAGCACGAATGGGGGAGACGAATGCGTATAGGATATTGGGGCGAAAGCCCGGAGGAAAGAGATCCCCTGGGAAGACCAAGGTGTAGGTGGGTGGATAATGTTAAAATAGGCCTTAGAGAGATAGGATGGGATGGTGTGGATTGGATTGATCTGGCTCAGGATATGGACCAGTGGAGGGCTCTTGTGAACACGGTAATGAACCTTCGGGTTCCATAAAATGCTGGGAAATTCTTGAATAGCTGCACAATTGGCGGATTCTCAAGAAAGGCTCAGCTCCATGAGTGTGTAAGTAAGTAAGTAATTTGTTACAGCTCTGTTAGAGTGCTGAGAAACGCAAATGGATTAGATATAAAAAAAAAGTTGTTACATGGAAAGCTCATACCTAAGCACCTATTCCATTCAATCCATGTACATATGCGGCTCCTGAACTTTTTAAAAATGTCATATGCAGCTCTGATATTCATTAAATTTTGATATCGCTGATATATAACCTCTGCAACTGAAACACTGTTATTAACAACAACAATAATGATAATAAATAAGGACACTGTCCTTAGATCCACACACACAAGCTGTTGAACTGCTCAGGCAGAAGATCATGATGCTCCTCATTAAGTCAGCCTGTGGAGATTCCTACTGCCAGTGGAACCAATGTATCTAGAGCTTAAACACATAATAGATAACATGTATCCATATTAAAGTGGTTCAGAATATTTTCCCAGTGTGCCATGTCTTGATGCAGGCCTAGGATAAGAAGATGTACTCTGTTGGTGATTGGTGCAACGCTTGTCATCTTTGCTGTGACAGTTGTGGGAATGTATTTAGGCCTTCACTCCAATGATGAAACACCAGAAAGTTCACTAAATCCACCAGACCCAACAAGTCCAATTCCACCTTCAGATTCGGAACTGGGCATCTATTGGAATGCAGCAGTGGCTACAAATGGGTACCCATGTGCCATCATTGGCAGGTTGGTAGTCTTCAGGAACAAAGTGAAATTGTAATGTCTTATGCTTTCAGTCTTCTTGACTATTTTAACACAGATTTCATCATAAATTTTAATTATCTTTACCTGTCTTTCCATGTGTTATTTGTATATCCATGAATATCTGTTTGTCCAGCCATCCATCCACTTATCGTGTGTCTATTACTTTTAAACTAATCTTAAAATTAATATTAAGGTATCTTAAATTAATCAATACATCCCTAGACAGCAAAATAACAGTGATACTGTGCATAAAAACATTATGAATCAATCACAGTAATAGAAATATTGTAATATATGGATCCATATCATCATCATCATCATCATCCTCACTGGCACGACAGCCCTTCGTGAGCCCTGGCCTTCCTCAGGATTGCTTGCCATTCTTCTCCATTCAATGCTACATTCCTCCAGTTCTTTACCTCCAAAATTCTTATGTCCTGCCACACACATTCTTCCCATCAGTGTCTTGGTTTTCCCACTTTCCTATTTCCTTCTGGTTTAGTATTAGGCCTCCATGACCTGTTACAGGGATAGTTTTACCTTTTGACTAGTAGTTGCAGAGATGAAACATGCATACAGGAAGACAGGTATGGATGCTACTTTCACATCATGTATTCAGTTTTTGTGTATGTAAAGAACGCATGAAAATATCAGTTTCAAGTCAAAATTAATGTCTGACTGAGCTATCCCAGTTCATCAGAATCATAAAAATATGGTAACGGAGTTAACACTGAACTTAGAGAAATGCAGCTTGTTGTCTGTATTTATCTCTGTTAATGAAGTTTGATCCATGTTATTTAACTTCATTTTACCATCAGTAGCCATGATGAGAACATACATGTTTTTTTAATTATCATAACAGATTTTAATATTTTCAGGGATATCCTAATGAAGAATGGCTCTGCAGTGGAAGCAGCCATAGCGACGTTGTTTTGTGAAGGCGTTGTTTGTGTTCAGAGCATGGGACTTGGTGGCGGCTTCCTCATGACTGTCTACAAACGAGACACTGGAGAAGTTCGAACACTGAATGCTCGAGAAGTGGCTCCCAAAGCTGCCAATGAAACCATGTTCAATGGGAATTCCACACTCTCAACTGTTGGTATGTATTCTTATTGTTGTGAAGAATGACAAAGTAAGAAGCCTAAAATTATATGTTTTCTCTCCTCTCGCTGATTTAAATACTTAAAATCACAGTTGGATAGACAAAGAGCACATATTTTATTGAGAGAATCAAGGAGGAATTTAGATAGGTTGTGTTCATATTCACTGATTAACCAAATAATACCAAGGATTCTATAACAGAGCCCCAGAAATATATCTTTCTAACTTACCCCATGGCACTACAGTTCCCTAAAAATCTTGGCCTCATGTACAACCAATGCCCATTCCTCTCTGGTATTTGCTTTTGTCTCCGTCAGTTCAGTTTCATCTGTTATAAATCATTCTGTATATATTCCAGCAATCTCAGTCTGGGCCTTCCCACTGTTTGCCTAACTTCTGATTTGCTTTCAGAACTTTCTCAGTCACTTCTTGCTTGATCTATTTTGATCACATGTCCCAGCTGCTCAAAAATTCTTCTTATAATGTCCACTACTAATCAGCATACATACATACATATTTATTTCGTTCCAGAGATCTACAATTGGCAGTGCTGCCTTGAGATATAGAACATGTCAATAAAAAGTACATTTAAAATGTAATCTAATCTAATCAGCCCTCAGGTTCTTGGCTAGTTATTGATCCATGCACCTTCCATGTAACTTTTCAGTCATGGACCCTGTTTGACATACATAGCAATTACATTTAACATTATTTTGTATACTATTCATTTTTGATATTTTGCTCACAGTTCTAGACTTTAAAATATGTTGTTAAAATCCTATGTAATAATGTTGAATGCCTGCAGCAATTCTCATCTTGATTTCTTTCACTGATTTAATTTTCTCTGTTATCAAAGCACCTAAATGTTTAAACATTCTGACCTCTTCAAAAACATAACCATCAAACATTCAAATCCTGTCTGAAGTTGGATAAGTTACTTATAATCCTCATGTGCTTGGTTTTATTTACATTCACTTCTAGTTCAACCTTTAATGCCTCACCCTTCAGCTGTGCTAATACTCCTTCAGTTGCTCTCTCTAACCATCCCAGTAACATCACATCATCTCTGTATGCTAAATATTGTCTTCTCCATTACCAGTCCCAAATCACACAGTTGATCAGCAGTTGTGCATCCTTTTCTAAAGCCAGAGTGATTGTCCACTAAAATTCCATCTGTAAATGGAACCAATTGTTTATATAAAATATCAATTTATAACTTGTATTTAATGATGATAGTACTGTGTAGTCATAGTTGTGTATTAAGTGGATACCTTGTCATCAGGGCATAGGATGTCCTCAGGTTATGGATGGAGGAAATGATCTCCAGATGTGGAGAGTAGCTGTAAATATATTGAGTAAACATTTGCAGACAACCAACAAGATGTGATCTATCAGCTTGAGTGTTGGTTACTAGATTAACAACTCCTTATATAGTAATAAATAATAAAGTTCGTTAAAATTTAAAATGATAAAAATGCTTCATGGTGTATATCATATCTTTTGGTTTATATGTTTTTCCTGTTGTTGCTTGTCAAATATTTGATGTCCTGTTGAAGACATATATTGCCCCCACACACATTAACAGTACACATATAAATATGTGTTGATGAACAAGGCATTTATTGAACCTGAAGGAGTGCAGAGTAATGGAGAGCTATAAATGATCTAGGGCATGAACAGAGTACTTTTTTTTTTTTCCTATAATGAGACTGCAGTTTAGAGAACTAATTTAGAACAAAATAATGGCTGGATGATCACGTAGAAATAATTTTTATGAAATCTTAAATTGTAACAATATATTCTGGAAACAGCAGTGTCAATGCACAGTAATGAAGAGAATGAAAGGGAGTAAAAGGACGAATATATCAAGTCTACCCTTTAGATGTGTGTACAGTACATTAGCAATAGGTCCGTACCCTGTAATAATCTAAATCACTTGCTCTCTCATTTCACTGATACTCAAAGTAATTGAAGAAATAAGGCAATAGTCAGTGATGGTTAGATGAATCTAGAACTGCAAATATTTTGTGACATTTCATTTTTTTCTCTCTTCCAGGGGGGCTGTCTGTAGCAGTTCCAGGGGAATTAATGGGGTACTGGGAAGCATATAAAGAATACAAAAGTGGTAATGTGGAGTGGGGAGAACTTGTGCAGCCAACTATTGACTTATGCAGAGAGGGCATCACAGTTACTCCATACCTAGCAAACATACTGAAAGAGAATGAAGAAGATATAAAAAAGAGTGCTACACTAAGGTAATTTAATAATGGTAAAATTTTCTCTGTGAATTAGCACCATTCTATGGAAATGTGCAGGGGCTGCATGGTAAAACTCTACTCAGCACTAAATGGAAATGAGTGGTTAACTGCACATTCCAATAACTTTATCAGGGAAAAACGTTAGATTATTATAGATATGTAGACCAGCGTTTTTTCATGTTTTCATTCACTGGTATTCCTGTAATGTCATACTTGTATACTACATACTCCCAAGCAAGAAACATACCTCACCAGCAAAAAAACAGAAACTTAAGAAATACGTCATCATAGTAATGAATTTATTGATATTGTGCATATCATTTACAATTCACATACATGGAAAATTTATCATGCATGCCGATTAAAGGGTAATCATGTACATGAAGTTCTCCATTGTGTCCAGTATGTGGCATATTCATCAAAGACATTACATATCAATAATTTTCTTCTGCTGAGTATAAGATTTTATATGTTGCTGTCATTTATGCCTCCAGTCTGGACATAACTTAAGTTGTTTTATATTTAAATGTTACAAAAATAATCCAACATAAAAAGGATGAAGGAAATGAGCTATTTAGGATATTCCATGAGGAACTCCAAGATTTGTAAGTCATCTAGTATTATTATGAGACTGAAATCTATGTGCCAAAGTGGGCTGGAAACATGACTAGTATGGTAGGAGACATGAAAAACATATATAATTTTTGTGGGGAATCATCCTGGGGAAAGTGAATTTGAAGGAATAAGGAGACTGGGGAATGGATCATAAGGTGGTCTATTGTCAGGATGGGAGGATGGAACCAGCTCAGGGTCATGTCCAGTGGTATTCTCTGATATCAGAATTGAACCTTCTTGTTCTGCTACAATAATGCTAGTTCTTTCTTTTGGATATTTCTTATGTACTGTTAATCTTTATGTTATTATTCAGTTAAATTCTGGAAAACAGTGAAACAAATAGTGTTTGGAAAGCAGGAGACAAATACAAACGATTAAAATTGGCTAAAACATTGGAGCTTATCAGAGACTCAGGTGCTTCAGTACTGTACAATGGTTCACTTACTGAAAGTTTTGTTAAAGACATAAAGGATTTGGGTGGTATCATCACAGAGGAAGATATGAATGAATATCAGTAAGTGGACTTTTATTTCTACTTATTCATAAATATAAAATTACAGTAAACTACTCAACATATTTAAGTTGCTGACTCAAATGTGAACAAATGCTGCATAGTTCAAAATGCTTTTTACAGTGCTGACTATTACCTAAACAAATGCTGTAACTATTTCTTAGAGCTTATTGTGAATGTAATCACACATGTTTGTTTGTATGAGTGTGTAATGGCTATTGTTACTAACCAACCAATTACACGGAAGAGAGTCCTTCTTAACAAGCTCAGCTACTCAAAAAATGACCCAACATTTATGGCACCCAAAGGTTCTTTTCTGTGTTCACAAGTACCTGACACTGACCCCTATCCTGAGCCATATGAATCCAGCATACAACTTCCCACCCTATTTCTACAAAATACACATGACTATTATCTTCTCATTTATGCCAAGATTTTCTGATCAAAACTGTATATGTATTTCTGATCCTTCGCATGTGCGCTACATGCCCATACTATCTCACCTTCCTTGATTTGATCATCCTAATAATGTCTGGTGAATAGTACAAATTATGAAGTTCTTTCTCATGCAGTTTCCCTTAGACTGTTGTTACCTTGTCAATTTTTAGTGCAAGAAAACTAATTGTCCCTGCTTCTTCAATCATTTTGTTATCATAATCTATTTTAAATTAATACATATTTCTTTGTTAGTAGCAAACTCCATTAAATTTGTTTTGCCCAAATTTTCTGCATGTTTCTGTTTAAGCCATGAGAAACATCATTACCTAAAATGTGAAAATGGCCAATTTCAGAATATTAAATAATAACATTATCATCAGCTATGAATATGAGTTTGCACTCAGATTTGATTTCTTTTGGGGGAGGGGGAGTGTTGATCATCGATATATGAGAAAAAGCAGGGAACTCAGTACCAAAATTTCAGGGACTCCATGTTTTACAATGCCTCCAGTTTGAGTATGTGCCATAATTTGAATTTGGAGATATTCTGCCATTAAGGTATAATTTAAACCACTGTCCAGCTTTACCTTGAATTCCATAAAAATTTAGTTTTGTTGCAACAGTTCGTGATTCATACAGTCAAATTCTTTAGCAAGTTCACAGAATAGCCTGCAAACCTGCAATTTGTTGTTAAGGGCACATAAAATTTGGTCTTTGAATATGTACAAATCTTTATCGTTTGAGAGAGCTTTCCTAAATCCAAGTCGATCTACAAAGATGATGTTAGAGTTTAAGACATCAATTAATCTCTTGTATGTAACTTTCTCACTTTCTCAGGTATTTTTGAAAATGTTGTCAGTTGTGAAAGAAAAGTATGTAACACTGATGAAGATGTTGAAGAAGGGTCCTTGAAATTATACAAGAGATTACTGTAGATTCCATTGCTACTTTTATATTTAACTGTAACCAAATTTTTCACATTTCAGGGTCACTTGGGCTGCTCCTGTAACTGCCAATCTGATAAACAATGTTACAATGTACTCTGTACCTCCTCCAGGGTCTGGAGTTCTTCTTGCTCTAATTCTCAATATTCTAAATGGCATAGTTCCTCATGAGAATAATATCACAACATACCAAAGAATCACTGAGGCTTTTAAGTATGGCTTTGGGAAAAGAACACAGCTAGGAGATCCAGAATTTGTTGATATTAATGAGGTAAGTAAAGCAACCTCCAAATTTGCTACATTATATTAACACACTGCATTCCTTCTTTCTGTTGTTATCAAGAAAGTAAGGGAGTATCCACATGTATAATTCTTGTTGCTCACTGCTATGGAAGCAGCTGGCTAAGTGGCATTCATAAAACACAAAACTGGTGCAATATGTTGGAAGGTTAAGAATTTTGGAGCAAAATGAAACATCAGGTCTGAGTCTTATGTTCTCAATTTCTCTTTCCTCTCTCATTATCCTCTAGTACTCCCTTCCTCAGTACCGCACATTACCTCCAAGTGTGGTGTTGCCAAGTGGACTGAGATGATCAGGGAGGATGGAAAGAAATAGAAGAGATTAATTACCGAAATTTCTCTGAGGTGCACTATAAAAGCTTAACAAACTCAACCAAACCCAACCCAAAGCAGTGCAAGTCATGTACAATGATGACTTCCTTTGTTGCCTTTGACTGGAAACAGATCACTCTGCAGCTGTTGTGGGAGGTAACAAGTGGAAGTCCAACACTTTTGGAAGGAGGGGGAGGGGGGACCTACGTGAACATGATGACAATTGTGCAGGTGGTGGGAATGGGCATAAGGTTGTACATGAAGTCAGACCTTTGTTTCAGTCCATTAAAATTTTACTTGTATGTCATAAGGTATATTACAAAATTTTAACATCATTTTATACCCATATTGAATCAAAATTAACCTTTAATCCTGGTTTCTTGTTACGTTAAGCTGCTCAAGCAATTAACATCCAAAGATTATGCAGAAGCTATCAGAAGGAATATAAGTGATTATATAACATGGCAAGATCCTCAGCATTATGGAGCAGAAGTAATTATGCCTGAAGACCATGGTACAGCACACATTTCAGTTTTGGCACCTAATGGTGATGCTGTATCTGCCACCAGCACTATCAACTTATAGTAAGTATATACAAGGATTTATAAATATAAGGTGAACCTTTTTATTAACAATCAACTGCTTACAGTAACTTCTGCATCTAGATGTAAATTAAAACATTGAAGACAGGTATGTTCTTTTAGTTAATGATACCAGTTCCCAAATATTTTACGCACATTTAATTCTCCAATGCAGGGAATAACTTTACTTACATTTTGAAGTTCCAGAAGATTGCTTTGGAGCTGAACGGTGTGATACCTGCATGTAGGGAACCCAGTAGTTCTTGAATGTAATCTCTCAAAGCAAGGACATTTGTACAGTGGAACATGGCAGAATTTGCAAATGTATCTCATCTCACTGTGTGTTTTGTGTATGTCACAGAACCTACACTGCCTTGCTGAGTACGTCTTTGCCTCTTTGGACACAGCTATTTTTTCTAGTTTGTGATTGTTGAAGCCCCCTAATAGTCTGTCTGGAAGGTCTTGTTCAGATCCCCCAAGCATCTGCGCATTCACACTTCCAATTCAACTTCCTCTGAATTGGACTCATCTGTGGCGTGTGACCAGTGCCCTCCAAATCACATGCAGAAACTTTTTATATTTTTGTTAAAATTTAGTAAACAGAAAATAGACTAAAGACAGTATAGTTCAGAAGATCCAGTGGAACTTCTCTGGACCACTCAACTTTTGTTCTGAGGATAAAGTAATAACTTAGATACTGACTGGTCCTGTCCACACTTCTCACATATGTACCATACTGTATTCTACAGTACAAAGGAGTTTCTTTATTACAACCACAGTTTTCCTTTCTTTCTTTCCTGAGCTCATGAATTCTACTAATCATACTTTGTTGCAGTATCTAAAGACATCAGTTATGAGCAGCCTGTATTCTGGCAGCTTGGCAGATTGAATGGTTAGAATTGTTGTGCATGGTTACAATATCTAAAGGAATAGGTTACAAGGGCCCTGTTTTCTTTTGTCATATTTTGGAACTGAGCCGCAATTATGTTAGTATAGCTGTGCATACATACAGTGCCTAAAGGCACAGATTAAAAGTGGTGTTTTTATCCTTAGGAGACATAAACATCTTTATTCAAGCTGCTAATAATGCTAATAACCTTAAGTGAAAATGAAAAGTTCTGTCTTCTGGGACACAACACTGTCTAGTCCATTGAAATTTAATGCCAATTTCTTGCTTAGTCTATTTTTTGGCTCTGGAAGTGGACATGCCATGTTCCTCCAAAACATCAGTTGACTTTCAGCCTGCTACACTGCATTATATCCCAGAAGATATAACTCTTCATACCCACCACTGTGAGAACGTCAAACCCTATGTAAGCAATTATGCTAGCCACAGTGAGACCCACAAGGCAAACTCAGCGTGTTAAAAGTGCCACATACCTCATTGTTAATATCACTGGTTGCCTTCAACAAACACCCCTTGAGAAGTTATGCAACAATGCCAGTGCCTAGTCCACTCTTCAAAACAGTTTTTGACCTGGTTTTGTGAAATGACCTTCTGAGCTGCCATTATATTAAGCTTGATGTCGTCAGTGTCATCAAAATTCCTTCCTTTCAATATTTCCTTTGTCTATGGGAACAGAAAAAAGTCATTGGGGCCTCGATCCTGTTAATGGGAAGGGTGTTCCAGCACAGTTATTTGTTTACTAGCTAAGAACTCACTCAGACAGTGCCTCATGAGCAGATCCTTTCGGATCATTTTTGCCCAGAACCTTTCTCATGTCAAGATCATCAATCAAGATTTCTCTGACTGTTTCTCTGCCGCTTTTCGCTTGCTCTGCTATGCTCCTGACAGTCAGCCAATGATTTTCACACACAATTTGATGAACTTTTGCAATGTTTTCTTCAGCTATTCTCATTGCTGGCTGTCATGATCTCTTCTCATCAGTGACACTTTCTCATCCCTCATAAAATCATGTCACCCATTTGTAAACTGCTGTCTTCTCCATAGCATTAACCCTATAAACTTTCACTAACATCTCTCTGATTTTGCTTCCACTCTTGCCAAGTTTAACAAGAAATTTAATGTTCATTCCAACATTCTCACAACAGCACACCAAAACACACTCAGACAATAATACACTCAATAATAAGATGCCACTCAGAAAGAGACTGCCATAGATAAACACCAACACAGTTGTGAAATACTGATATGCCATCATCAAACCATTCTTAGGTTTTTGTCCATTGCTGCCATGGCAAGTACATGTTGGCGAGTTCATGAAATTTATTGCAGCTGACAAAATCATAAATTTATGTGACCCACATGTAACACATAAGATTTAAACCATGGATTTTCATATGACTCAACTGCAGTGTGTTAAGCAAATTCACTTTCCCAACAATGTAGACAATTCACTATATCCAGATATATTTTTGGGAAAATACAGTGTTATCCTCAAGAGATATGATCCAGTTCACTTTAAAAATTTAGTAAGTAAAATCACATTCTCTAAGGATTTGAAATATGTTTCATTGTTTGACAAATATTCAAGCAATGAATGTGTTCAGGAAATGTTAATCTTACCCATGATGCTATCATGAAAATATCCTCTGTTACATGTTTTCCTGAAGGCACAAGGTAGTGTAGTTAGTTGAGGCACCATGCTACAAGCCAGAAGGTCGTGGATTCAAGTCCCCATGAGGTCACTGGATTTTTTCAATTGACCTAATCCTTCCGACCGCACTATGGCCCTGGGGTCGACCCAGCCTCTATCAGAAATGAGTACCAGGAATATTCTTGTAATATTCTTGGGTGTAAAGGGTGGCCGGCACATAGGGCTGGCAACCTTGCCGCCATCTGTGAGCCAATTGTCTAGAAAATATGGGAACCTCAACATCTCACAACCATATGGGCCTCCATGGCCTGTTACAGGGATACCTCTACTTTACTTGCTTACCTGTTTTCCCATATTTCCAAGTCCCATATCGTACAACATTACTTCCTTACCATTTTGTATCCTCTCTCACTGATTTGTCACATGTTCTTCAAGTCTTCTTGGCTTCAATTCCAAAACCCAGTCCTTGTTTATAGTGTCTTTGTCTATTCATTCCTATAAATAATACAATACAAGACATCTTGGAGCAAAAGAGTCAGATGTTCTGAACTGACATAACCTCATTTCTTTCTTCAAATTATGAACTTAACTGATGAAGCATATTTTGTGATGTTGGGCAGTTTTGGAGCAAAGATACGATCAGTCAGTACTGGCATCATCCTTAATGATGAAATGGATGACTTCTCAGCACCCAACATAAGCAATTATTATAATATTCCACCATCACCAAACAACTATATTGAGCCAAAGAAACGCCCATTATCTTCAATGGTCCCCTCCATCTTTGTTGATGGAAATGGTGACGTGGAACTTGTGACAGGTGCAGCAGGTGGAACAAAAATAACTACTTCTACAGCTTTGGTAGGTACTGCTGGAATAATTTCTCTCTTGTTGTGGTATGAGTATTTTTGTCTAGCACTAACTTTAGTGCCAGCACTAAAATATTCCATATATACAATAAGAACCATGCAAATTTCATTAATATATTTCTGAAGTATTAAGATATACTATTCAATTAATCATACGTCTGATGATAGCTGAAATATGAGTCTTGAACTTTAGGTATAAGTTCAGTTAGGTGCCAATTGATGGAAATTTGTGTTTAAAAGTGATTTCTTGCCAGTTTCTCATTACAGTAGGAAAAGTATATGGAATGCAGAGGATTCATGAAATCAGCCTGTGTGCTCTGTGACTTTCTTTTTTGTCATTGATTCTGCTTTCAACAGTATAGGGATCAAATAATACCAGAAGACCCACTCACAATGCTGATTTATTTTGTCCAAATTTTGAATTATGAGACTTGGTTCAAAATTGGACCAGAATGTGAATGATCATGCATAGAATATATTTTACTATGCGGCTATCCAACTATTGGTGAGTTGGGAATTTGTGTGCATACACTGACCATATTTAACATGTACAATTACAGGTGGCTATGCAGAATCTGTGGTTTAATAAAAATATAAAGGAAGCTATTGATGCACCAAGATTTCACCATCAGCTGTTTCCGATGCGTTTGCAGTATGAATATGGAGTTCTTCAGGTAACAGCTTTTAACCAAATTTAAGCGACACTGGGCATGGCCTGGTCTTAGTTGGAATATGACTTGGAAGCACATCATGAAAGCATATTGAGGGAGTTGAAGTAAAGACTCTAGACTTCAGACTCTAGCTTGTCACCTTATTCCCATAATGTGATTAATGAGAAAGAAGTCCCTAATGGCAGATATGAAAGTACCCACATTATTTCAAGGCAAATATGCACGTGCACAAATATATTTGGTGCTGTCTTGCTCTAGGATGTTGTATTCAGTGTCAGCTGCATAACTGAGATGTAGTCATATATGTCATATACTAATAGATCTTTCAAGAGGTAGTTACTGATTAACTTCCCTCTCAGTTTTGGGCTTTTAAAATTCTAATTTTTGAGGAGGAAGTTAATGCAGCACTAAAGATCAGCCAGCTTCGCATTCCAGTCACTTTATAAAGAACCCTTGGTACAAAGCAAATATGAGACAAGGGGCCCCAGGAGGGAGGTAGTGAAGGAAAATTTCTAAATTCCCACAGCTAAGGATCGGATATAAATTGTTATGCATTCTTAGCACAAAACACAAGTTCTTGTGTCTGTGCATGTTTCATATCCAAAATTATATTCAAGTGAATTATAACTCCTATTTTGTATGAAATCCAGTATGAATTGTATCAAATTCTTCAGGAAAAAACCCGTTTTACAGAGAATTCTGGTGATAAAACATAGATGGATCTTAAGATATCTCTCAGCATATATAGAGGTAATGTACCTTATATTTCATGGTAATTTCAGTTGCACTGAGTTCACATCAACACTGATCATGATACTACTTGACAGCTTGCATGTTTTCTGACTGAAGAGTACAGTAACAAATGATGTGGCATGTCATAGTTAAGATTGTGTATGGCTAACACGTTCTTACTGATGTAGTGTAAATGCCACCACTCTTAAGTTTAATGATTGTACATTATTGCACTGATATGTCATACATACAATTGAATATGCATTTCAGCAGAGCATACGTTCACACACCATGAAGTTTAGAAATGTGAGGTACAAAAAAAACACGACTTTTTTTTATGTTGCAATTTGAGAGATGACCAGCTTGCAATACTGTGGTTATAGGCTGATAAGTCTATTCAACTCTGGCCAGCAGGTACACTTGTGTATGTACATTGTTAGTATAAAATTAATTTAAAACATTTTTCAATATGTAATATGAAATAAATAAAGGATTAATTATTTATGATTCTATGCATTGTAATTAACTTTAGATAACATATTTTTATCTGCAATAAACGAACATCAAAACCAGTGAAGTATGAAAAATAGTGAATAACATATTTTTAAAATGTGTGTATTCTGCTGGAATGTGACGCTTCATCATTGTTAATTTTACTTCAGGTTTTGTACTCAACCATTAATACACTTTGGCAGCTGCAGGGCTTTGATAATTTTGAGGAATTCGTTTTAAAATCTTAATTTTTTCTATATGAGCATTTGGAGTAGAACATATTAAGTCTTACGTCAGTGTATTAAGTTAAATTAAAATTCTTTTTTCCACATATGTTTCAGCAAATAATACAAGGACTACAGAAAATTGGTCATGAAACAGAGAGGCTAATATCAGCTGGATCAGCAGTTACAGGCATTGCAAGGAAAGGTGGAAAAATTTATGCCAATACAGATTTTCGACGGGGAGGAATAACAGCAGGATTCTGATCAAGGAATTGTTAGTGTTATGTTTTAAGCCTATTATTAAGTTGTGCATGTCTTTTCCCTGATTCTACTAGAGGTATCAGTATTAACATACACCATGAAGCAGAGGCCTCCTCGAGAAGCTAGTACTTGCTCAGTCAGTCAAGCTATCCCTGCCCTTTATGGAACCTGAGGAGTCATTATCATATTCACAAAAGTCAAGCAAGTCTGAGACCTCGTGTGACATTTCATAATATGCAGTTTTCATGCTCAGAAGTTGTCAGCCCCTTATCCAACTCCCAGTCTACAGGATCACACCTTATTGGCTGTCTGAGACTGCTTATTTAATATAATTGCTGCAATTACCGTGAATATCTGCAAACCATCTCCTCTCACAAGCTGAAGACATGCCATACCATTGTGACAGACAGTATTAAGAATAGTAATTGATTTTATTTGAGACACTTGGTATGAACATTGTGCCATTGGTGACCTCTCAAATTTAGTATATTTTCACTTTGTCATAAAAATCTCAACATAGCAGGCCTGGGAACTTGTGAGACTGGACAACATTAGCACCATTCAACAAAGGATCTTGAAACTTAGTATTCAAATAGATCTGTAAGAAATATGCAACTTTCATGCAGATATTTATAGGAAGCTAGAAAATAACAAAATGGGGGCTGCCCAAAATAATTCGGTGTGGTGATGATTTGTACAATTTTATGTGTTAAATTTATATTGTAATGTGCTAGTAATATCAATAGTATTAAAATCTACAACCCTTCACAATTGCAAAAGTGCAGCATACAAACAATTATCTTAATACTTGTTTTCAGCAATGAACTGAAATAATAGTAGACTATGTGTGAACTTAAAAATCAGTAAGGAAATGCAGTCTGTGCTTAGAAGAAAGTGTGACGTGATGATGTTCATAAAGAGTAGCATGTACTTACAATGAACGTATACTGACTGCATTCCTGGAAATCTGGACAGGACCTTGAGATCATCCTTAAAGTACAGGGGTGGATTTAGAGTCAAGTTATTCAGATGGCTCTGAGTGTTGCTACATCTCTTCAGTTCTTGTACTTTTCTCATAACATATAGATGACAATTGAAAGCAAAATTATCTCCTTGCTATGTATTACATCATGAAGATGAATAAAGCTGCTCAAATCCTAGCTGAGTGGGTACTAAATGGAAGTGAGCAGTCAATTTTAAGTTCAAAATAAATTTATCGCATTAAAAAAGAGCCCTGCATCCACTAAATACCAGGTTAGGTTAGTTCCAGAGCCATTCTGTAAGAAAAGATCACAACACACACATCAAGGATCAACTAATAGTCATCCATTCCAAACTTTTAATATTACCAACTGAATTATAATTGCAGTTGGTAACAGTCTTTATCACCCTGACTTCACATTCAGATGGTTATAGAACCTATTCTCAGAGTGCAAATACTGGACCTTCCAGGTAAATGCTGTGACAGTAGACAACTTGAAATAAGGCTACTTATCATAAGATCCTCTCCACTTCTTCATTTTCATTATCCTTCCATTTGATGGTACACAATCTATTTAGTTAAGAAAAAAAACTAAGTGACTTTTATTGAATAATCAAATATATCTTCTTATATTGCATAAGTAGAATGTACATTTTTGTTGCAGCATACAAGACAGCCAACCATAATTTATCTATAACTCAGTTTGTAACTCTGAGAAATGAAATTAAGTAATAAAGCTTTGCCATTCCTATCTTGTTCAAGTCAGTCCTATAGTTTCCTTAATGTATGAATTATTTCCACTAATCTCCTGCTTACTTTGGAGATGTGTTGCTAAAAACAACATAGGCTGATATGATGTAAATCAGATATATTTTTCCCACATATTCATACATTATGGAGGGGAGATTCATTCCTGGGTTCAAATTTTTTACTTGCCAACCTAAGACTCATTTAACTGCAACTGACTGGTAATTTTTATTCATCATTAACATAATTTCAAGGAACACAAAAGCTTTTTGCACTCCACAGAACAGTATTTCAGTAAATTTCACCCTCAATATATGTTCCTTCCTTATTGTCAGAGACCAAGTTTCACACCCTTACAGTTTTGTATTTCTAATTTTTATGTTTTTAGACAGCAGAAGAGAAGACAAGAGCTTCTGAATTGAATGGTAGCAAGCATTACTTAAATTCAGTTTCCTCTTAATTTACTCCTGAATCAGGTTTTGATTTGTTATCATCGTTCCCAAATATCTGAACTGTGCCACATTTTCAAAACATCTCTTACCTATCTTTATGTCATGATTTTGTTCTGTATTTTGGCAACGAGACAGCAACATATACTAAGTTTTCTCTGGGTTTACTTCTCAACCAACTGTGGGAACATCCCACATTATCACGCATTTCTGCAACGCTCGCTCTTCACATCTCTTCACCATCACGCGCGCTAACCAATCAGATTGCTACAAACGATCGCATTTATACTACGCTCGGCGCTAGCCCGCGTCTAAACCATTACGCGCGCTAGCCAATCAATTCTTGCTCCTCACTTTCGAGTTTGGTTCCGCCCCACCGGCCAGCGTATAAAAAGGAGCGACTCCAGAGTTGAGTTATCCAGTTTAATTCAGTTCATCATCAGCCTACGAGCTAGCCACATCAAGCAACTTCAGCCAGCAGGCCTCGTCGCCAGCGCTCGGTCTTCGGAGACATCGGCAGGCTGCGCCGGGCACGACTGCCTCGGCCCTCCGGCGCTCTCACACCCGACTCACTGGGGCACCACGCCTGGACTCACCGGTGGTCGTGTTACGGTTTGACTCACTGGCCATCTGGCGTAGCCACTGCCTCACGGCTCCTACGACCGCGCTCAACGACTAGCCTTTCACCACCAGCAGCAACCTCCGCCATTTGCCGCGCTGCGATCAAGCAACCTCCAACTCGCTCTGCCGCACGGCAACCAAGCAACCTCCAGCCACGGCCGCACTGCGGCCAGGCCACTCGCCTTTCACTAGCCTTTCTCCTTACCGGCGCGCGCCGCGCTACCTCACCGGTCAATCATCTCAGCAGCCACGGTCCTTTTCAGGGCCAACAAATTGTTCCAAAGAAGTGGGTTGTCATCGGAGTAATGACAAGACTACACACGTTGACAAGAGAGCCCCACACAACCTCCTTACTAGCATCAATTAAAGTTTGTGTGTTTTTCTTTATGGTATCTATATTACCACCTAGTAGATTCACTTCATCAGCATCCCCATATTTTCTCTTACAAATCACTCACTGAATTTCAGTTAAATCTGTGGTCTGGCAGTAAGTTAACCAAATTTAACTTTTGCATTTATCAGAATCTGTTGAGTCTCTTTCTAACAGCTCATCATAAAAGGGAATTTTTATGTAAAGCAAAACATATTTCATTAAGGATACAAGCTTACTGAAACATTTTTCCAGTGTGTTAAATATGGAACAAAATGCTTTCTGTTGATTTAGGAAACACATGCCAAATTAAATCCAGGATATCCAATTTAGGAGTAGACTAGTTTCCATAATTTGTTGTGGTAAGCACAGCAGGTGCCACAACAGCCTAAGAGCTTGTGGAAACAAATCAACTGTTAAACTAGGTACCATGATGTTGGTAATGGCATTTTCTTATTGAAACTACGTGTATAATGAATGACTGAGTAGCACTGTGACCAGATAGTGATGGTGGTTTAGCTTGCCATATTTATGTAGTTCTTATAGTTTTCTCACAACATACATTTATGCACAAACCACTAGTGCTCAGTAATCCACAAGAGCAGACCTATAATCTGAGGTTCTTTCTGATTAAGGTTTGGCCTCTCTGGATAAACCTTAGCTAGTTCAAAGAGTGATCTCTTCAATGAAATGCCTTGTGTAAATCTCATCTCTTATTTAACTCACCTGTGCTTCTTCTAAATCAGACTACTAAGAAAAATGGTTTCATAACCATGGTAACAGATTATGTAATCAGAGCATCAATCTTATGTGAAAAGTCTAAAAGCTTAGTCAGTTTAAAATGACTGCTTGACTACATGATCAGCTGAATGATAACTCAAATCATAATGACATTTGTAAAGTTTGGTAACTTAGATCATTTGGATAAATCTCATCAGTGATAATATTAGTTATTAAAGTTGTTCAGGAACTGCGGTCATTATAATATTCCGAACTCTCCTAACTGAATTATAGATTTCCTTAGTATCCATAAAACATTAAAACTAAATACAAGTAACTATGTAACATCAAGAAACCTAGTCTTTCTTGAGAAACTAGAAGTCGCTCACCTAATGAAGAAATTCTTTGGAACCTGATGGTTCATTACTGTTGGGTCTTTTCATTTGTATCATGCTGGTTTTTAGAGCAAGAAGTTGTTAACTCCCTACCCAACCCAAAGTTGGAGGATCACCCTTTGTTGGCTGCTTATTCAATATATCCAAAGCAACATTCCTTATCTGGAGGTTTTCCCCCACAAAAAAAAATCACAAATATAAATTACAGATAACTGTAAATTTAATTACCAAATTTCCTAACATGTGTAAATCTAAGATCTATAGGTATATTCTTCTGCTCAAGATGTTTGTAAGATTTTATATGTGGGTTTTGTAGTGTATTAATCATGCTCCTGTTATTGTATTATTTGGAAAGCACAGTTTTATTAACTGATTAAAAAAGTCTCTTCAAGCAACTGTACCACCCTTCTGGAAATCAGAATTTGCAATATTCAAACCATCTGCTCTTTCTTCTGTAGCATTAATGAATGATGACCAGCTATTGGTTACCTGTTGCACAACGTGTTGTTGCCCCAGAACTTCTGTTTGTTCCTAAAAAAAGAGAAGAAATATGTGGCTGAACCATCTTTGGATATCTAACTAAACCGAGAAGTCCAAATTAAGGAAATGTGTAGATCAAATGAAAGCTGCTAACTTATCATTCTAGCGGTTAAACTCCGTTTACATATCTATTTATGTAGTTTAACAAAAACACTACATTTTCACTGTAGAAATAAAGAAGCTTTCATAAATACCACCTGAAGGAATATAAACCTCAATAACATCTTCAATGTTATACTCTAAATATAAGATATTCAAGTAAATAATAAACATTAAAACAATAACCCACATAACGAAAAACATCAAAAACAACCTCAAATTATTGTATTGTCACCACTGATTAACCTTGCCCAAGTACATTGTTCTAAGATCTACACATAATATTATCCTACCACTTCCTTTAGGTTCCAAGAGGGTGCTTCCAAAGAGGTTGCCCACAAAAATTCTACATGTACTCATACGTGTTGTTTCTCAGCTCATCATAGCCTTGATTCCACTAATCTAACTACAATTTGTGAACTGCGCAAATAGTTATTTCATATTTTATAATAATCTCCACTGCTCATTTCATTTCCTTCAGATCCACATAATTTGAAATAATTCTGAAGTGCATTTTCAAATGTGAATTATATATTCTTTCAAATGTAATCTAGATTTTAAATTGTGAAGGATTCCATCTGTAATGCAACATAATGAACCCTTTCTTAAAAGACACTAAAATAGATTTAATCCACTAAAAAGTGTTTGTTAAATATTATAAATGTCATTAACTATGTACATTTGATGTCATTGCTACATGTTTTGGGCACACATGGGCCATCATGAAACTAATTTATGAACTCTTATTTCTAATCTGACTGAAATCTATAGAACAGTTCCTTTTGAGACACTGCTAGTAATTGTTGCTCAGCTAGTTAAGAAATTCCCTGCTTTTATGGAATTCAAAGGTTCATTCCTGTGTCCACAAAGTGGCAGGCTTGTGCTAGTTTCTTTCCCAGCTTACTCTTTGATGTTGAAGATGGAGGTGATGTGTTCCTCCAAAACGTTGGTTTGTCTCTGACCAATACAGCATTATAATCCAGAAGACTGTTTTGTTTATAGTCATAGGTGTGGCAAACTAACACCCAATTTATTGTGTAGTTTAAATATTGCTGTCTACTCATCTGCCCATGACACAGCCTTTTTAACTTCAGGCTTCTTAAATTTGTTTTTAATAACTGGCTCTGTGGTTTAGCTAGTCTTTTACAACTGGTTCTACAGAACCTTTGCAAGCCCGCATGAAACACCTGAAGACAGCAGTAAGAAAGAGGGTGACCACTCAGCTCGGTTTTGTACCAAGATTAAGAATGCACTATGCACATTCAGAATGTGCCAAGGTATAGTTTTAGCTACCTGTGTCCTTTGCATGAAGTTCATAAAGTAAAACTACAAAAGGGAGATTGTGATTGTTGGTCAGTTAGTCAACATGGTTTATCTCTGAATTTACTGAACAGTTTTAGATCAAATTTGATATTGTAAGCATAATAGTTATTAGATACACCTGATTGCCTGCTTCTATCTAGAAAATGAAGACAGCAAGTTCCTACAACATTTTTATTACAAGGGACTGAGCCACAGCCTACCTGAATAACAGTCCAATTCTCTGGATCTCATGGGAGCAGTCCCTAGGCTGTACATCATCGTCACCTCTTTTGAGACAGTGCCACAAGAGTGAGAGCTCATTCTGCAACACTCCAATATGCTGAGGATGTGTAAAGCAATTATCCCTCTGCTGAGGGGTGGCATGCTGCACGTGTTTAGTTGCTGCCTTCCCAACTGCAAAGTCATGGTCACCACTTTGCTCCACCTTGAAAAAATCACAGACATAGAGTATACTGCAGAGAAGTGGGCCAATATTTCTAGAGGAACCAACAATATTTTCTGTGTGCTTTAAGCCCCATGTCCTGAGAACAAAAGAGAGAGCTCCGTAGATTTATAATATCCTCACTAGATGGAAGTGTGTAGTCAGCTTCAGGCTCCGGCCACATTATCCTAACTGAAATAGAATGTTAACCATTTTGTAGGAGGTTAGAGAATTTCCAGCGGTTGTTCTGTGGTTGCGTGTTAATTTTGCGTAGCAATGGAAATGACGTCATAGCCTGTTTACTGTACCATTGCCCAGCAACGGATGACTTCTCTTGTTAAGATATTCGATCATGTCAGTCAGCCAAGATTAACAATTAACCTTTAACGTCATAAGTGCACCGATCAGTACACTGCTGATTATGGTCGTCGTAGCCGAAGTGCCCCGATTTCTACATTCGAGCATTTAGACACAGCTAATGGAAGCTTGCTCACACACCGCTAGTAGAAGCATATGCACAGTCCTAAACATTTATTTTTAAATATAGTAAAATTTAATGTACTTTTTTGTTGTTTTCTGCTCGACGAACATACAGGCTTCAACCCCCGCGTCGTATAACTGAATCTCGCTTTTGTGTAATACTCCTTGAAGCACCCGAAAAAGCACAGTCCCACGTCACATATCTTGCATTTCAACTGCCTTACAATTTCATCGTCATCCAAACAACGATCACTGCCATGTATGAGAAAATGAAACTACAATATTCAAATTCACTGTGAACTCACAGAAAACTGAATGCACTCTATATCTCAGCTGCAACGCAAGCCTTTGGTTTGCAACCATAGAAAGGTCAATAATTTTCTTGTAGCTGAAATGGCAAGGCTTGGAACTGAAGTGGCGAACAATGAGTATTCCCTCTAGCCTTTCTTGAAAGGCCATGCTTTCTCTTTTATGTTCTTTAGTCAAAAGACTGGAATATCCGAAGAGTGTAACAAAGACGTGAAACTTGCCAGAAGAGAACCAAATTACTTTATTGCTTCTTCCAACTGTTTTATGGCTCCATAGAATGCGAAAATATTTCAAGTGTTACAAGCAGGAATGATTTATAATGCAGAACTACTATGTGAAGAAGTGGGAATCTATTTTTACAGTACGCATCAAAATTACAAGAAAAAATTAAAGAGTTTACAACTTTTTCTACATATTTTCAAATCTTACGTTACAATATGCGACACGGTGTTATTAGCTGATAAAATGAAAGTTAATTCCATTCATTTATCATAAAAATTATATTAATACATTTTCAAATACACTGCAAGCGCCCTAACAGGAAGCGACATTTAAACGCAGAGCAACAACGGGCATTTAAACGCGCACCAACCACGGGCATTTAAATAAACTCCGGGCAGCTCAAGCTACCACCATTTTAAAATTTTGGCGTTTAAAGGCTAACAAGTCCAAGTCAGTAGGCCCTAATATAATGATCCAGGTCGAATTTCGTAGGGTGACTCTTTTGAAGCGATATGATCTACCTAGCCAAATGTCTTTCTGCGTTATGATTTCGAAAATTCAAAAGAAACTTGCTTCTGATTGGTCCTCGAACTATTCAAATAAAAACGCATTACTGAAAGAAATCCAGCGTTGGAAAGTTGTTTTCTGCAACATGAGGCAAAGGTGCAACAGTTTAAAATGACATGAAAGGATTTTAGTGTATCTGATTTTACCGTCACAACTCCATGGTTATCTCAGACATAAATTCGTTCCTCTATCAGTTACACGAAGGGAGATTTCAGAACCTGAAACCTGTACTTCAACTCTGGATCAAGCAATAACAGTACCGCTAGCCTCTCTATGTCCATTGCCTGCTAATGTGCCCACTGCTTCTATCAGTTCAGAGACATCGCTTGTGGAATCTTTGCCCAAAAGATGTCAAATTTTCTTTCGAAATCATACCAAGCCCATAAAAGCGCAAAGAAAAGCAGAGACTTTGGCGTTGAACATCTGAGAGTTGCATTGAAGCTGCCAAATGAAAATTAAAAGTGAAAAAGCTAAGACGAAAATTTACAAAGAAATAAGTTCTGCTTGCTCAGCCGTCCAGTGAAGATGGTGAACCGGCGCACATCCCTGAGGACAAAGATGAAGGGACCTTTCCATTCTATTTCTGTGGTCTCAAGTATTTAGACAAATAGCCGATTTTCAAAGGAGAAATTTTCGATCCGAAAAGCATTAAATATTGTTTCTTGAAACTTGCGCACATGCTCTAGATAGAAAACATTTATCTGTGGAAAATGTATGTAAAATTACGACAAAAGAGGCTGACTCAAATAAGCCTTTCAGTAATCAGATTTACCCCGCATTTTTCAGTTTTAGGAATTTTAACTTTCTAAATTATTTTTATTTTTAAAAATGCTATGTTGCATACTAAGCATGAGATGTTATACGGTCTTATACTGCATGAATGTACAGTTAATTTGTTGCAATTATTTTCCTGATTGATTTGTTTTCACCAATTTATTCTTCCCAACACCGGGAATGTCCCAGTTATCACCAACATAACGCACTAGCAAGAATAAAATCATCAGATCTGAGAATGCTGCAAACACATAGGAAACCACGAAGAAGGAACTGTGTACAGCCAAACAAAGGAGTTAGTAGTCAGATAGTAAAAACTATGCGTGATAGCACACCAAAAAATCTCACGGTAATTAACTATGAATGTGTCCCAGCAGGAATTTTGCTGTACTTCACTACTACTCTTCCTGTTACGCACATCGGAGATCACGGATGTGCGTTGGTCCCATCACACAGAGACGATCCCTTCGGTTCTGTTTCGATTTAATTCTGCTTTGATTCGCGGATCTCTTTCATACGGGTTATTTTTGTTTGTTTCATGCAGGCTATTCTCTGTGTCTTTGTGAAAGTGCGCCTAAAATATGTAGTTTCCTATAAGCTTGTCAATCATTACCTTGATGTCTGAGCAGCGAAGGCCAAGTCCTGGAATTTACGACGAAACATCGACACGTTATCTGCCACCACAGCTCTTCGTTCACACAGTCGAATCGAAGTCTCCACTAATTCCGACCGTGGCAGTAACCCAAACTTCTTGTGTTCCTCCCTCATGGCGATAAGTTCTCCAGGAACAGAGACCAAGAATCTCCCTGTGTAGAGGAAGCAACAGAATTTAAGTTACCCCCGATTTGTCGTCTTTCCTTTCGTGTGGTCTATGCACAAAATAAGTCCTTTTCGGATGTTTACTTAACGACGATGTCAGCATTGAGACTGTGTAGCGTCAGAGAATATGTATAACGCCGTGTAGTCCGCTGAAAGTCAACCAAAGTTTCAGACGAATATGTCGCTCTGTAAGCTCCATGCTGTTCTTTTTCTTTGCTTGGCTCATCCTTTAACCCTGAAGATATAGACATGTTTCTTCGAAAACCCGAGTGATTTTCAACAGACTAAACGGCGTCATTTCCCAGAAAATTAAACTCTTGATTACACACAAGTAATTGACAAGTTATAACACAATGTTAAGTTGCAAGAAATTGGGTTACACAGTACACCTCTCTCGAGCAGCGGAAGTCTTTTTTTTTTTTTCGCTTAGTGTGGGGGTGGAGTCCAAGTGGGTCCACTCGGCACGGTGGTCACTGATTGGCCTATTGTAGCCTGCCCCGGGTGATTATGATGATGGAGCACTTGGTGGAATGAAGATTGGCAGGGGAAACCGAAGTACTCGGAGAAAACCCACCCCAGCGCCACTTTGTCCACCACAAATCCCACTTGACCAGACTCGGGTTCAAACCCGGGCCGCCGCGGTGGGAAGCCAGCGACTAACCGCTTGAGCTATGTTCCGGCCTCAAAAGCGGTAGTCTAAGGGCGACATTTAAATTGATGCAATACTAATATTACGAAGTAATCAAAAGTTCTAATAATGTCCATAAGTTTACTGAAGTATCGAACGAGTCGCGCAACGAGCGCTAACGCTTCAAATCAGACGGCAGTTTTGATAAAGCCCAGACGCCGCACAATAAATACTTTCACTGTACATTTCCACGTGCCTGTGACAACACGATGTGTGAAATGAGGATCTGGACAGAGTGGTGTGCCCCTGAGTAGTCCTGGCAGTGCAACCTGTAACCGTGAAGTCCGCCCCTTCTGTTCATTGTTCCGGTTTAAGTACATCTGCTCTGGGGCCGTTTGCAAGGACTAGGCCAAAAGGGAAATCTACTGGCTTCTATAAGTCTCCATGCTAGGTACTGGAGTGAGGATGGCTTCCAAATGGGTGAAACAGCCTTATCCTCGTGTCAGCTAACATTAATTTCCACAATTCATTCATTCATCGGTAATCTGTCATACGACAGGTCCACAGTCTCTTCCAAAACAGTTCCTCCACTTAATGCGATCTCAAGCTTTCTCCTTCAGTTAAAATATCTTCTTCGGTCTTCTTCCTCGTCTTTTGGGCACTTCTATCTGCCCCTCCAGTTTGTTTGTCTCCAGATGAAACATCTCGCATACATGGTATCTCTGTTTTTGGAAAGAGACTATCC